TTTGAAATCCACTGGTACAATTGTCAAATCAATTATTCATTCTCTGCAATTATGCTCGCACAAAGAACATTTTGCTGGTCTGAATGATGATTAAATTAACAGCTATTCCAGCTGCCTGATAACATCTAATAGAATATTCATAAGCCCAAAATGGAATGAATTATCTCCATTAACTTCATCATGCTCACTTAATTACATGCTTGTTATTGTATTTACACCTTGTTAGATACCGCTGAAGCTGATCCAGTGGCTGGCCGGGAATTGGAAGCGTCTGTCATGGGGCAGTTGGAGCGCGTTTTGTAGGAAATGCTATTTATTTTAAATGCTCCACCTGCTGGGAGCCGAGGTTAGTCAGCAGCACTGAGATGAATTGGGAAACGGGGTGTAAAAAGAAATAATGTGCTTCTGACAGGCTCCGTGGCTTTTAAGTTGCTCTCATTCAGCCACTTCACAAAAAATTATTTTATTCCATCTCTCAGTGATGATGACATGATTGCTTTTGGGTAATCATTTACCATTCTGATTTTATTTTTTGAAGTAAATTGTCTGAAGTAATAGGTTCTTGGAATTACAGCGTGCCTTGCTTTTTTCTTAGAACTTTATTTAAGCTTGTCTTCCAGCATTTAACCCGAGTCCCCTCTTTCGTTTGATCTTCTAACTTTATTTATACAACAGTGCTTAATGATCCTGCACAATGTGTTTTTTTTCCCGCTCTGCACCCCCACCCCCCAAAAAAAATTGTGTCCAGTATGGTTGACAGTACTTTTTGATAACCTCAGCAAGGGGCTGCATGGGCAATTTTCTTCCGACATGACAAATACAAACACCCCAAACCCAGCCCTGATAGAATCACTTCGTGCACTTGAAAGGAAATCTTTGATCTCTTTCAAGGTGACTCTTTCTCTACTGAAACATGGTAAGGGGCATGACTCTCACCTTCTATTTTTCACCGCCAACATGGCATTCTTTGCATCCCCCCATCCTGTCTCCTCCCTTCTCACACCGCCCTCTGCTCTTTGCCAAACTCGCTCGGGCCAGCCCTTCCCGGTAGTTGGGCCCCGCAGCACCAGCATTTGCTTCCAGTGTGAAGGGTCACTGTTCCCCACCACCAGGCTGCAGCAAGCCTGTGTTTATTGAACGTGAACCAGGCCAGTGGTGGAAAGAATTATAATCACACTTCTAAATACTTGTCACATCAGCCTAGTAGAGCACTCGAGCTAAAGCATGGATATTTTATTCTGTTTGAAGGCTGTATTTTGGTATCAACAAAAAAGAAGAAAAAAAAGAAACCCGAAGATAATTATTTATAAGTAGGAATGGAACTGAATAGTGGACTAACAGGGAGACTCTTCAGCCCTCAGAAATATTTGAGCATCTGAGATACGGTGTCGTGGGCACGGGCGGCCCTCCCGGCGCTGGCCCGCCGATAAGCATGCCCTGTGTGCCTGGCGCTGTGCCTTGCGAGTTCTGTCAGCAAGTGAGAATGCACTCGAAGGTGTGTGTTGCTTCTCCTTGAGCGATGTTTATGTGCTTGTCACCTGACTTGGGGCCCTACACGTCTTTGTCTTTGTGGATGTCACTTGAGAGCATCCCGGTACTGGGTACAACCTGAGATGGAGTCATGGCCCTGCGCTCAGGAGCCAGGAAGCCAGGCCAGCGGCTGCCACGGCCTCAGTAGCTTAGGTGGCTCTGTGGCATGGAGAAGGGAAGGAGGTGCAGATTTCTTTCAGAATTCCCAAAGCGTCTTGCCTTCTGCCCCTTACCGCAAAGCTCACGCTGCATTGAGGGAAGCAGGCTATGGATTAGAAAAGTGGGGGAGCTGAGAACTGTATGGTGGGAAGCCATGCAATTAAAAACCTGACGGAGATTATTACCTGAGTTCATAATTGACAGAATATTTAATTCAGATATAGTAAATTGACACACCTCTACACAGAGACAATTATGACTGACTGTATAACACCTGACAGAATCAATTATAACTGACTGTTGTTTGATACCTTTGCACAGAAATAAATGAAACAGACATTCAGAACAGAGACGGCTGCTGCCTGTGTGCCTAAGCCTGCCTTAATTAAAATAAAATAACCAGTAGGCGATGTTAAAATGTCTTTACCTCGTGGTGTCTAGTGGTTTTCTTTAAGTCCAAAAAGGGTTTTGTGAAGAGTGAGGCTGAAAAGAGATTTTTGGTTTGCTGACATGGAACTAAAATATGTGAAGTAGAAATAGTTTTCTTAGATGGAAGAATATTCCATTTTTTCAAATAGTGCTAGCATTTTAATTGGTCAGTTGAGTTTTAAGTAAAATAGTTAAGACATAGCCTGCAGGTGATGGTCGGATTCATCCTATATAGAAAATATTGCAACTTGAATGATTTTGAAGCTTAAGAGTCTAACCAATAGAAATCAACTTTTAAATGAGCAGTTCATCTTGTTGTCCGACAAAACATTTTGAGAATAAGTCGTATCTAGGCTAACTTTTCCCATTGTTTTCATAAGGCTTAGAGACAGAAGATTTCTTAAAATGAACATGTAGAAAGGACCGGAGTAAATAAGCTTCAGATACCTGTTCCTTGAGTGTTAGTCACAAGAGAAGGGAGAAATGGAGATTGGCTTTGCTGGTGTATTTAGATGCGTGATTCCCAGGTGGTACCTCAAGCCACTGGAGTATATTTGGCTGATGTATTTGTGTGTAGGAAGAGCATTGCCTTCTCTATTACAACAGAATTCGGCCTTCTTGGTGCTGGAGGCTGAGATGGCACCAACCACAGCCTGTGGCACCTGTGGACTGGGGTAGGATGGCTACAGATCCTCGTGCCTCCTGGCCCACTGGAAGCTTCTAATAGTCGTTGTCCTCGGATGCCTGACACACAGTTCCTGGTAGGCTGATTCCCCAAAACAGAGCGGGGAGAGAGTCGGGGTTTTTACTGACCACAGTGGCTGGCTTTCAGCATTTAACATCCATATTTTTCTTTGAGTTCTAAAGTGGTAGGTGTAGAATCTACAGGAACAGGGTAACGGTTTAATGTGAAGCCTAACGCGAGTGGCCCAGGTGCCTGAAGGGGGAAGAGAGAACCAGGAGGAAGGGTGGGTGGCTCCTCTTCCCCACCCCACCCCCCGACAGACCCCTACCCGCCCCAGCCTGTGACAACTCATCCAGTGGCTTCCTAGAAGACCTTCTATACATTATTGATTAAGTTCTCATTGGGGAAGCAGGTGGGAGCTTTTATCTGCATCTCTCACTGGCATGGGATGGTGCCTTGGCCGTATTGACCGGGTATGGGATATGCTGGCAGTCACAGTTGTGTTTTTTGAAGAAGAACACCGAGTGACGCTGGTTGTCATTCTAACTCTGCTGTGTGGCAGCGTAAATAGTCCCCTTTCTACCCAACCTGGTGGGAAAAGTCAATATCCCATCAGCAGAGGAGGTAAACACATCAGGAGCTGTGTCCTCTCTCTTCCTCCCCTGCTCCGTGTTACTGCAGCTCTTTAAATGTGCTCTCCCCAGTCATCAGATGCATTTGTGTCAGTCACATGCGCGGGGTTGCAGGCCTGTGGTTCGGGCCTGCCGGGAGGCGGCCGATACTGGTTGGAGTCTTTGTTGTGTATTCCCAGACTTGGATAATTAGAACTTTCAAATTGTCTTGCTGTAGTCTCTGAACCGTGCACCCTCCCCCTCCTTCTCCGCCTTTGGACATTCAAATCCTCTCCCAAACTTTTACTTGTTGTTGTAGTAGTTGTTGTTCTGAAAGGCAGTTGATGTAATTTAGGAAAGGTTATGGAGAGCAAACATGAGTGTGTAGCTAAGGAACGGCATCTTGAGAGGGAGGTCTCATTTTCCAGGCGCTTGGCAGGCTCCAGTGCGCTCGGTTGCTTCGCCCGGGAGTTTGCTTTCTGTCACTGATTGCTCTCCCTTCCCGCTCCCTCTCCTGAGCCTTTCCTGTTTCCGTGCACAGCCTGGCATCTGGGGGCCCTCACCTCAGCACAGCTGATCTCTGGGGCTGCCCTGTCTCTGTCTGGGAGCAGTGACGGGGGAAGGGGGAGGGGAGTGCAGGCCGGGGGCTCTGACTGCCTGGGTTGCCTGGCTACATCCCTGATTACCTGTGGTGTGACTCTGGGCAAGCCATTTAAGCTCCCAGTTTCCTCAGCCATAAAATGGGGCCTTGAAAAAAATTGACAGCCTCTCCAAGCACCGCTCAGGGTTCCCAAGCAGCTGTCCTCTTAGCCGTCCTGGGAAGGCTCGGCTCCCCCAGAATCAGACCTGGGCAGTGCAGCTCTGCTGTTCCCTTGAAGGAGTAAAATGGAGAAGTAGCAGGCTCAGGAGGGAAAGGAAGGATCTTCCTCCTGAAGGCCAGCCGTGACCGGGTGGAAAGAGCCGGCAGCAGTGGCAGGTGTATTGTGTGTGCCCTGAGTTCACACAGTGTGGACAAAGAGGAAAAGAAATCCTGGCAGTGCACAGGCGCTCCTCCTACAGCTTGCCCTCACCTCTTTCAGTTCAGAGTTTTTTAGGGTGGAAGGACTCAGACTGGAGGGACTGGAAGGAACAGGCTAGGCCCATTTGATCTAGGGAGTGTGTGGGTTGCGAGGCGCTAGGGATAGTAGCTTCCTTTGATGCAAGGTTTCTCCTGCCGCTTGCAGACTTGGCATGCACTCGTGTGCCTGTGCTTGACAGTGCTGTGAAAGTGCTGTGTGCAGTAGAGCTCACCTTGTCTGCTGCACATGGGCGTGCACCTGCCGTAGAGGGTGACCCTGTGCCCTGGTGTGCTGAGTCAGCAAGGGGCTGAGAAATGGCAGGCAAGGCAAAGGAAGCAAAACTTTCACAGAGGAATCTTGGGAGCCCCTGCGCGGGACTGATCCCAGGGGTAGACCAGCAGTACCTCTGAGCCACGGAGCTGCAAACAGTGTCTCGCACCCCTTTCCCTAGTGCCTGAGGAATCTTAACTGGCCTTTAAGGAAGCTGTCGCTGAGACTTCTCATCATTTTGTTTTTCTTTCTTTTTAGAAAAAATGAAGAAGCAGTATCTTACCCAAAAAGTTCTTCAGGACTACAGAAAACTCAAGAACACAGCAGAGCAGTTCTTGCTGCGAAGTGGCTACTCCGAAGTGAACCTCAGCAAACTCTTCGCCGATTGTGCTGTGAAGTCCTGAGGGAGGCCCAGGCAGCACCAGGAGCCGGTAGCTGAAGCATCCAGCTTCCTTGGCACCTGCACGCTGGGCCCACCTGCTTCTCAGGCATCTGCTTTTCCCTGTGGGACTGCATCTCGTGTTTGGGTGGATGTGGACTAGGAGGGGAGATCAGAAAAACATTTAGTCTTCCAGACAAGACTGAGTAAATGCACAGTCTTCATATTAAGATGCACGGCTTTGAAGCATGCCCCAGAGTCCTTCCCCAAGCACCTGAAGTCCTGGCATTTGGGGATCTGGGTCTGGGTTTCCCGGGGAGGGCAACTGCTACTTTGATTGAGTATGGCTGGAATGTAAGAGACTCCAGGCTTTGCCTCAGGGCCTTTAGCAGAGCTGCCCCCAGAAAAAACAGTTCCTGAAGCCTAGCTGGAGACCTAACGTTTTCGCCTTTTCACACGCCAATTAAACCCAGTCTAAATCCAAATGCTTCTCCAGCCGCTCCCTCCAGAGTGGCTGTCCTTTTCAGTCCTGTCTTTTATATAGGTAGCTGGGGGGAGATGTCAAAGCCTTGCACTTACTAAATAGATTAGACAGAGCCAGCTTGTTTATCGAGTGGCTCCAGAGCCCCCCCACACACACACACTGAGCAGGTGTTTTATACCCACACATTTTTTTCCTCTTAAATAGAAAGTTCAGGTAAAGGTCTATACAACAGGAAAGCACATTTAAGTTAATTTGATACTCTAACATTTCATTAAAAATTCATAGAGGTTAGGGTGAGGATCACTGGGAAATTGGAGGGAACAGGTAATTGGCCCTGGTGCTTGCTATTTCTCCTCTTCAGAATGGCACCGTCTTTGCCAGCAGCAAAATCTAGTTCAATATGGCAGCCTTTCCTTTCTTACATTCTTGGTAAGATCATAACTAACAAAATATATTTCTCTTTGTACAACTATGCTGTGTTTTAAAAAAGTTTACCTGTGTTTTTATAAAGGAAAAATATGTTCTGCTTTTTACTTAAGAATAAAGTATTGTAAAGGGAAATCAGTTGCAACAAATCCTTATCAGATGCGAAGAGGTAACTGGAAGGGCAGCAGGGAGTAAAATCTGCCTAGAAGTCATCCCGTTGGCTAAGGTCAGAGCCCACTTCTTCCCTTCGCAGCCCGATCAGACCCCAGCTCAGGAATGCAGGCCCGATGTTTGTCCACACGTTTGAACTCGTATTCAGAACTTCTGTGCACTCTGGGTCCTTTAAGAAATGAGGTCAGGTTTCCCATGCTTCACACCCTTGAACAACCAAAGAGGGCCAAGCCAAGACCCAGTGGTGTCTTTCTGAAGAGAAGGCCGAGATGGCTCCTGGGGGAAAGGCGCCCACCACGAAGGTACCCCCAGCAGCGGAAGCCTTGTTCAGCAGTGGAGATGAAACTGCCCTTTGGCTTGTTTTGCCTTCTCTTTTCTCACCACCCTTTCTTCCCCTCTCGTACACTTAAGTTCAAAGTAGAAACACTTTGGGTTTAGGGCCCTGTCAGGTAATTAATTAACTGGGTACTTCAGGCTCTGCAGTCAGTCCCAAGTTGGAGCACCCAAGCGGGTTTAGGAAACTAAGGCATTAATGTGGTTTTATTGCTCCATTGTCAGCCCTTTTGGTAATTACTGTTATCACATATGGGTATAGAGATGGCTGTCTAATGTGTGCTTCTCCGTAGCCCACGCCCCCACCATGCCTTGTGATGGGAAAACATGTCGCCCTTGATTTCAGGGAGCTGCGATTATAGTAAATAAAGAGAGTAATCCTGAACTTGACCATCAGGAAACTCAGAATCCCAAATAACTTCTCACTGGGTTGTTTCTTACCTCTGCCTCTAGACTGTAGTCACTGTGAGGGCAGGGAGCAGTTCTGTAGAAAGTCCAGCTTTTCAAAGTACAGTCACCAGAAAAAGCTACTGCGCAGCTGCTGTTTGCTTACTCGGATCTGTACCTGCGGGTACAGCTGTAGGCACCTAAGAACTGCAGAATTTTATGGAAAGCTGAACTACAACTTTGAGAATTCCAGTGGCTGTGTTGTAAAAGTGGAATAGCGCCCACTCACTTTCCTCTGAGAAAGGTTCCCACTCCTTGATCTGCATTGGGTGATGGCACACTGGCACAAATGCCACACACTTCTCTCTATGGAGGGAGAGCCTACTCCTGTGTCTCCCTGGACTCTGCGACGAAGGTCTTTGGTTCAAGAAGTGCTGAGAGTGAAGGGATGAAGCCAGCTAGAGTCAACTAGAAAGGGACCGTGGGAAACTGAAATGGGCAGGTCCCGTCCAAGGGGGCAGCAGCTACTCAGTGATGCTTGAAGGGGCAGGACCTGCTGCGGCCACACGATCCAGTTTGCAAGAGAAGCTAGGCATCCAAATAGCCTATGAAGTTTCGATTCCTAAACTCTGGCTACTTCTTTTTAAAGATGAAATTGTCAATGGTGTGGGCTAAACTTTAGCCAAGCCAATTGGGACAGTCCCATGCCTCTGAAAAGGGCCCCTTTGCTGTTCAAGAACTAGAATGTGCCCTGCAGCAGTTCTTTGCATACAAGCTGATCGTGGACCCAATATACTAACTGTAAACTCTCCTTCACAGAACGTTTGATATGGGAGAGGCAGGGAGTGGGGAACAGAAGTAGACAGTCCTCCAAAGAGTATTCTGGGTAAGATTTTAATTTGTCCGGAACACAGCCGGAGTTAATCTCCTGACTTGCCAAGGACGTGGGGGCTGATCAAAGTTCACATTGGAGTTTGGGAGCAGATGTTGAAAAAGGAACTCACTGCCCCTCGCCACCCCTCCCACCCCGCTTCTCCAGCCCTGACCACCTCTGACCCCCGCCCCGGCACTTCCAAGTATATCGTTTAAAATGAGCTTGGCGGAAGATGCAAAAAGAAGGAAATTCCAAAAGCAGATTTCCCTTCTAAGTCAGGGTCTTGTGAGAAACACCAAGCCCCGCACCCTCTTGTAAGGATCCTGGACCCCTCAGTTGGATGCCATTCAATGCTCCCATCCCAAACTTATAGCAGCCTTGCCTGCACTCGCTCACTCGCTCTCTGCGTCTCTCTCTCTCTCTCTTTCCCCACTCACCTAAATATTTCTTAATTGAACAGTTTGTGGTGGAGCTTCCTTATAGCAGTTTAATAGATTAACTCATCTGAGCCAGCCTCAAATTTCAGATTAAAATTCCTTCATCCCGAAGGCAGCATTATCAGGTTGTTGGAGGCTGTTTTCAAACCTTGGTTTTGAATAGCAGCGGCTCTGCATTAATTTAACCACTAAGCTAATAAGTAGGTTTCGTTTTGTTATGCTAAGCTTTATTGCTTTTCTTTTGATCAGAATGGTGTTGTTGAGCAAAGCAGCAGACAAGGCATTCTTTGATGAGGGAATTAGCGCTCCATTCTTCCTCTATTATTCATAGCGCAGTGGAATATGTAAGTACCTGAGGGTGTCAAAGGAGCGCAGGTTCTATTGCAAAGTGCTCGCCTTGTTTCTCTCAATAGCTGACTATGAGATGATAAACCGCTTAATACACTGTGCTAATTGGATGAGAGCAAAAAGAGATGGGAATTAAGGCGAGGCAAAAGGAGAAAGTGCAACCAGCCTTCAATTCACTCTTTCACCACTTTAACAGCACCAAAGGAGGCACAAGCTTTCTATAAGCAGACTAGAGGTTTTGTGCAGAGATAAAATGAACGTGTTAGTGGATTCAAGTAATACACTAATTATTGCACAGTATAAATACCACTACTGGTTTTATAACAGGGAGGTAAACTTCTTTTGAGAGGGTTATAGGATTGCTTGGCAGTGGTGTAGAACCTAATAAGGGCCCAGAGTAATAACCCCCTGGATTAACAAAATTGCTGCTTGTAGAAGTATGATTCAGGCTTTTACGAAGATTTCCGGAGAATGAATAAAAATGACTGAATGACATTTCTTAATGTATAACTGGTAATCGCTCCCTTTTCTTCAGAGGAAAAAAAAATGTATACTTCAAACTGGACCGTTAATAACGTCCAGGGACAACACGACTTTTTCCTTTGAAAAATGCTTTTCCCTCCCGTCAGGTAGCAGGTTTTCTTCTCCCCGCCCCCCAGCCAGGCTGCCACTGCCAGTTAAGTATGCAATGGCTCCGGGGAACTCTGTGTTCCAAAATACCATTTTAGGCTCCATGGAAGACCCCCCTTCATTCAGACACACTTGCTTTTGTGTATACACACACACGCATGCTCACGTACACAGTTTTTTCATCTAAAAGCAAGTTGGGCTAACCCATGTATAATTTAGCCATCTATAATTCCTTTAACATCAGCCCCTTTTTCCATTCTAGTAAGATCTTCGCATTCAAAACCAGTAGTAAAAAGAAAACCACTGGTGCTTCGACTCTTGATGATACCCATCAGAAACACCAATAGTAACTGTTGGTCCCAATTAGGGGTGAGGGGTTGGAACAAAGGGAAACATGGGAAATGGGGGTGGGGCGGGGCACGATACCAGTGACTTCAGCTTACAAACTGTTCAAGTGCCCAGTGGTCCCAAACCTTCTCTTGCCAGTTCACCCACTTGCCCTCTTCTACAGCACACAGCAGAGATGACTAACTGCAGGCCAGGCCATGGGCTTCTCAAAGTAGCAGGCAACTGCTCCCTCCTTGCCTTTCTGGGCCTCCTCCAGACCTGTGTGCCAGTGTGGCAGATTAACTCAGCCCTTCCCCTCGACCTTACCACAGAGGCCGGATCCAGGCTCCCGGTCACCCATCGCCCCAAGATGCCGTGGAGGGAGCCGAGCCCGACAGGGTTGGGTAGGGTGGGGGTGGAAGCAGATGTTGGGCCATTCTGCCTGGGTGTGATGGGACACAGCCTTGCCCTGCCCTGTCCTGGCTCTCCCGAACTCCCTGGGGCCCTGTGTGTCCTCCATGGTGGAAGAGGTTTGCTTAAGGTTGGGGGGGGGGAGGGTCAGCTGCTCCCAGGTTTGTGACGGCATTCCCAGATATTGGGGCCAAATTGGGTTGCCATTCATTAATAATGCTCACAATAAGATTAAATCATTCTGGAAAATCTCATAAAATCCCCCTAAGTACGCTCCAGTGGCTCTTTCCAATCCCCATCATTCAGCACTTGGGGAGGTTTGGAAGGAGAAGAAAATTGGTTTCTTTGCTTTTTAATGCTGCTTTGAAAAGATACTCAGAGTTTGTCATGCGTGACATGTCACATGTTTAATGTGGACTTGCTGGAAGTCAGGGGGTCTTTAGCGTGTGATATTTATGGGGAATATTAAGTGCAGAATGAGGTCCCTCCAGCTGGGGAAAGTTGAAAGAATAGGAGGCCCAGGACCGGGCTTGTTTGCGGCATCAGAATGACATAGGATTAAGAGTTTGTAAAACAAGGCGAGGGGTTCTCATTGGCCAGTAATAAATGTAATCCTTGGAGGTAATTTCACGCAATTTGCTTCTGCTCCATGGAGGGGTCAAATGAGAAAAAATGACTTAAAAAAGAGTTCATTAACAGGAAGAATGGTACTGTTTCTCGTATACCATCCAACTGGCAGCCTGAGGGGGAAAAAGGAGCCCTTCTAAACAAAAAGCAACATCAACGGAACGTTGATATTGACCACCAGAAAAAAAAAAAAAAAAGAAAGGAAAAGAAACCCTCTTTTCCCCTGGCGCTTCCCTTGCACTCCCCCGTCTCTGCACGACTCCCCAGGGGCCCTGCCCACCCCCTAGGGAAGCAGCTTTCGCTCCAGGAGACCCTGTGCTGTTTGAAGGTTGGAGACTCTAGGAATGCCCTAGAAGTTCCCACCGGGCCTACGGAACTGCGGCCAGGAGTGTACGGTGGGAATGGCGCTTGGCGGGCGCTCGCCACGCCCCACGCCGGGCCTCTGACAGGAGTCCAGGGCCAGGCCTGGGCGGCAGTGACCCACTCGATGGCACAAGTCCAAGAAGCCGTCTTGGCCCGGCGAGGCCCGACGGCGCGTTCCCGAAGGGTTCTGCCGGGCCGGGGGTTCCGGATGTCTGGGCTGGGTGGCCGAGCCGAGGACGCGAGACCCCAGAGCTGTAGTTTCGGGGTGAGCTGCCGAGCGCCCCCTGCCCCCAGGCGGGGGCAGGACCCGGCGGGCCGCTGACCTCTGTCCGACCCTGCACCTTGCCCCCCCCCCCCCCCGCTGCGCACACTGGATACCCCGGCCGCCAGGAGACCTGGCCCCCCTCCTTCTCCGGGGTGCGCTCGGAGCCCCGAGCGGCCCCAGCCCGCAGACGCGACCGCGCCCCCCGCAGAGACCGACTGGCCGGCGGCGTGGCGGGGCGGCAGGCCCCAGCTCCGCGAACCGCTGTAGTCACACCGCCCCAGCCCCCGCCCCCGCCTGCCCCTCTCCCCAAAGGTCCGGCGCGCTAATTACTGCAAATTGAAACTAATTAAGCTTCTCTTCCCTTTCCCATCACCCTGGGAGCGTCGACGAGACCCAGCCCCCGCGGGCGGGCTTCCACCGAGCGGTCACCCGGAGGGGCGCAGGCAGGGCCCGGGGGAGGGGGAGCTACGGTTCCCTCTGCGGGGAGGGGTGCGCTGAGGGGTTTAAGCGTTGCAAATCTGCTTGGGTCTCCTCTGGAAACCTGAGTTGTTTAGATTTTTTAAAAATGTATACATTTCCCAATGCCTGGATAAGTGATGTAATGACATTTGTCGAGTTAAGATCTGCCACTTGGATACCCCTCGCTGCCTTTCTATCACTGTTTCTGCATCTCTCTCTCTCTCTCTCTCTCTCTCTCACACACACACACACACACACACACACACACAGCCCCTCCTCCCTGCGAGCGAACCGCGGAGCCCGCCCCCTCGGAGGGGAGCGCCTGGGCTTGCAGCTCTCGCGGTTACCTGTCATCTCGGACTGCACACTTCCATGCTACGTGGCACGTCCCACCAGCCGCTTCCTTCGCTTTCCAAGCCAAGACACCCGCTCGCTTCCAGCGCCTGCCTCCACCGGCAACAACGCCTACCATCCGCTCCCAAACCCACGCCACCGCCGTGGCCCCCAGACCCGCAGCTCCAGCTGCGAGCAGACCCGACGAGGAGCACAGGGAAAGCCCCGCGGCTGCGGCCTTAACCTCTACCGGAAACCCGACCCTGTGCGGATCGCTTTCAGACCAGGGTTCTGTGCCAGGAAAGCGCGTGTGCAGATAAACCCAGGAGGTGCCTGGGTGCGGGGGACCAGCTCTGGCCCCCTGGGGGGGGGCGCCTCCTTCTACTGTCCCCTCAGCTCCTGCATAGACCATTCACACTTCCTTTTGTTAAACATATAATTTTTTTTATTTTGAGCGTGACACTTCTCCACTAGATAGCAAGGAAAAGTGGTAACAGTTACACATTACACAAAAGTACTGTACCATTGCCTTTATCTTGAAGGTTTCCGAAGCCTCTACAGTTAATAAGTTAAATAAAGGGCTTGAGTACATAAATATTTGTCTAGGAACCCTACCGTATCTACAACACAGTAAGAATCTACAGGAGGACAAACTTTTACCATACCACGCTGAGTGCAATTGCGTTATAACATTTCAAATATACAAAGCTCTGTTTTTTTTTTAATAACAATGGTATGTACAGAATCAATAATCACAGTTTGGTGACTTCAACAGTCCATATTCTAGCAGAGTATTTCCCTTTGGTTTGATATAAAAACCTTGGTTGGTGTATGATAAAGAAGAGAAGACGACGACGACGCCCCTTTGCTTTAAGTGCACTGTTAGCTATCTTCCAGACTCGCATTCGCTGCCCTGGCCCTGGCTTCACGCCGGGGGCCCACGCTGGGGAGATCAACTTAGAGCGCCAAAATGCTACTTTGGAGGGGAGGGAAGAGAAAGAAAGAAAGAAATGCTAAGTGGGATGTCAGGAGGAAAAGGTTGGGCTTTTAAAATGTTTAACTTTAATACCAGACATCTTGGGGCGCAAACCTCCCCCGATATTTCCAGTAAAGAACCGGAGAGGGTTGGAGAGAGGTGGGCAGGGGCAGGGGCAGGGGCGGGTGGACAGCCAGCCGAGGAGGTGCCACGTCCGGTAGCGCCGAGGGCTGCCTTGCTCGCGTCCAGGCGGCTGCGAAGGCGGCTGCGCTCTCTCAGTGCCGTCTCGGGAGTGTGCTGGTCCTCTGTTTCCATTTGGTCTTGAGTGGTGCTGAGTGAGGTGACCTTTCGGGGCGTGAGGGTGGAGGAGAGCCCTTAGCACACCTCCTTGCCCGTGCTGGTGCCCGGCAGGATGTTGAGCTGCGTGAGCTGCGCGGCGTGCTCCTTGGCCTTGAGCCTCAGCGCGGCTATGCTAGACGCGCGTCTGTCTGCGGCGGCCGTGGCCGGGTCGGCCAGCGCGCCCGACGCCACCGCGCCCTCCACCGCCGGTGCGGGCTGTCTCAGGAGAGCGGCCGCGGTCGACGCGCTGGTCAACGGGGCCATGGTGGAAAAAAGCCTGCGGGGAGAGCAAACAGCGCGGTCACGGCCTCGGGGAGCTGAGCGCGGAGCCTCGGGTGCCGTTCGCCGCCGCGTCTCCCCAGAGCAGTAGCGGGGCGCAGACGGGCGCGGCCGCACGGCCGCCAAGACACGCGGGCCCGGGCTGGGCTGCGGCGGGCTGAGGGCTGGGCAGAGGGGCGCGCTGGAGGCTGGAGCCCCCTGGGAAGGCTTTACCGCGGCAGAGAACCGAGGCTGGGGGAGGGGCGGCGGGGAGAGGCCCAGCGGGCCAGCTTCTTCCCAGAGCGTCCGCAGTCAGGCTCTTAGGCGGGCTCCGTGGGCCAATTGCCCCGATTGTGTGGTTTCGATTAAAAAGGGGGGCGGGGGGGATTTCGCTAAGGCCAGGGGCTCCATTTATACTATTTACCAGTAGAGGAGAGACAAGAGAGGACACCAAAATAATAATAATAATAATAAGGAAGGGAGGGAAGAAGGAAAGAAAGAGGAGAGAGACACAAGATAAAGAGGAGAGAGACACAAGATAAAGAAGAGAGAAAGTGGGACAAAAACTGCTCTAGACCTAAGCTGCTGACTTTGAACCTCTTTGTTAGCCCAGGACTCCTCTGGCCCTGGAAGAGCCGCTCCTGTTTGCTGGCCTTCGAGTCCCGCAGCGCCACCACAGCCGCCCTCCTGCCGCCGAGGAGCAGCCAGTGCCCGGCCAGTGCCCGCAGGGCGCGGGTGGAGGGCGCCAGCCTGTTGATTTCCGCCCGCCAGGCAGCGGCGACCCGTCGGCGGTCCTGCGGTCCGGAGCCGCGACACCCTTTCCCCGCCGCCTACCCTGCGCACCACCCGCCGCCTCTTACCCCGGGGGTCCTGACTCCCGACCCCCAAGGGCGGCTCAAGGCGAAGCCCAAGCCTGGGACCAAGGCCTTAGCCCGGTCCGGTGCCGGCGGCACCGCCTCCGGACGGCGCCGGGATTACTCCGCAGGGCACTTCCAACCCCTTTTACTTCGCACAGCCGACCCGCTGCTGCGGAGGCCCGAGTCGCCCCGGGCCAGCGGACACTCCACCCAACTCTCACCACCTCCAAGCGCTAGCCGGGCTTTCCTGGCCGCCTGGCAGAGGTCTCTGGCTCCAGGCCCCCACGGAGCCAATTTGTGATTCCCGGGATTAAAAGTGAGCCCAGCTGGGCTCCGCGAGAGCCGCCTCCTCCTTCTCCCAAGCCCACTCTTCAGTCCTATGCCAGCGCCACCACACCCTGCAGCCCCTGTGAATCTCGCCGCCTGGCACTCCAGCCTTGGGTCGCCTGCGTTTACATGTCGCGTGCTGTCAGTAGGGGAAAGTGGGCAGGAGGGAGGCGAAAAGACTCAAGACTTGGACTTTTTTTTTTTCCCAGAGAGCAATGATAAAGTGCGACCCGGAGGGGGCGTAGCACGCCATGGTTCTATGAGGTAAACTGAGTCACCAACAGCACTAAAGTGCGCTCGCTGTTTATTTTATGATGTGCTACAAGAAATTAATTTTACTGCAAATCATATTTTTAATTTTCTCTGGGATGATTTCTGTTAAGTGCTGCGCAGTTGGGTGAATCTATTATTTCTTTGTTCTCCCAAAGAGAGGTCACTGAAGCTGCAGTTTTATTTTCACTACACCTTCCAACTTAATACACCCCGCCTTTGTCCCTTTGTCTGTGTGATTACACGAGTTTTTTTATTCCATCATTCAATGTTCTTTAAAGAAAGCGACCTGTTTCTTTTATTTCGTTGCCTTTGCCGCTGTGGGGGTCGGGGTTTGCACATATGGGGGCATCTTTGGCAGCACGTCACCTGAGTGACGAGGAAGACAGAATCTAGGGAAGAAGAAACAAGTCTGTGCACCCAGAGGGCCCCGCGGCTCTCCGGGCTCCCGCGGGGCCCAGCGCTGTGCTCCTTGGGCTGCCGCGCTGCCAGGCTTTGGGCCCGAGAAAGGGCCTTTGCACGCCTTGAGAAGTCATCCTGTCTCTGCAGCCCACCCCTGTGCACAATGGCACGCTCGCCACCCTAGGCAGGGGCCGCCTGTTCTTACCCCTTCCCCATTCCATCCCGACTCGTCCTCTACTAGACCCACTTTTTTTTTTTTTCTCTTTAGAGAGTATTGCCTTTGGCTAAAGTTTCTGAGGTTGAGCCAAAGAAAAAGATGTGTGTAGTGCAGGTGTCTCCTGCCTCCTCCCTGACTCCAGCCTCTGTGTGACAGACAGGCAGACAGACAGACAGACAGCCGACAGCCTCCGGAGGCCAAGTGTTACCTGCCAAACGCCGGGCTGATGAAGGCCGGGTGCCGGAACACGGCGGCTCCGAGGAAAGTGCTCAGGCCCAGCGGCGCCCCGCTGGGCGGCAGGCTGGCCGAGCCCGGCGGCGGAGGTAGGCTCGGGAAGGCGGCGGCGGCAGCGGCGGCGGCGGCCGTCCAGGCTGAGTCGAGCGCGGGGTGGTGCGGGGGGAAGGGACTGGCGTCCAGGTAGGGGCTGAGCGGGTGCGTGGCCGAGAGCGGTCCGGGGAAAGGCAGCCCCGGCGGGTGGGTCTGCGCGCCCGCCTTCTCGCGCTTGCGCCACTTGGCCCGACGGTTCTGGAACCAGACCTGCAAGGTGGAGAGAGCCCGGGGTCGGTACGGCTGGGGCCCAGCGGCCGCGGAGCAGAGCGTATTCCCTCGGGGCTGCCGGCCCTCGCCCTCTTCGCCTCTCTGGTCTGCATGTCTGGCGTCAACGGAATACTAAGTAGTGAAAAGGAGCCCAAACTCCATGCCAGCAGGGAACACAGGACAAGCAAACCCTTTCCAGTGGGTGTTCCCACTCGCCCAGTTTCCCAAGTTTAAGCACAGTGCTTTGGTGTGTTTAGAGATGGGAGAAACCAAGGTTTAACGTGTCTGCGCTGCTCCTCCTTCGCTGCAAGTCTCTAGGCGGGTGGCATAAAGCTCACTCAACCTCAGTTTTCTAATCTGTACAATGGGGCTAAGAAAGCTTAGGAGGTGATGACGAGGGGCTAAGCAAGCTTAGGAGGTGATGACGAGGAAGCAGTAAAATGAGGCGAGCGGAGATTCTCAGGAGTGGGCAGCCACCAAGAGATGAATATGGCGTGTCTGTTTTCATGAGATCAGCCATATTCACCTATTTTAGGTTTACTCAAGAGCTGGCAAAATCTGTGTTCCACATTGAAAAGGAAAGCGGAGAGGTCGTTTCAAGTGTGTTCTTTACAGAAATACTGATTGAACACCCCCGAACGCGGTTCTGGGTTCTGGGTTCTGGGGCTTGGGGAGGGCTGAAAGGGAGGCAAGAAATGCTCGTGGCAATTAGCAAATAGGCAAGCATTCCCTATGTAGGGGGCCAGGCATTGAGATCCGGGGTACCTAGCCTGGGGTCGCCAGGGACGCTGTGCAGCGGCCAGGTTTGTGCAGGGAACGCGTGCATGAGGCAGGCAGCAGTACCCGGGCACACGGAAACGAGGGGACCGCAGAGTGTGCACTTCACCTGTCTTCACAGCCCACAGGCCCTTTCTTTCTTTTGGGAGGTGTGGCTTAAATCGGTTATTTCAATGAGATAGTGCTAAGCCTGGGGGAGGCTTTCAGCCCCAGGTATTTCCCTAATTGTTAATAAGAAGCAGGTTTAATAGAGACCTTCACCTGAAATGTGGCAGCTACCATCAGCTAAAAATAACCCCCAGGAGTATGAAATTATTTTTATGTGACCTGCTCATAACACCCACAGCTGAGGAGACATTCTCCTTTTCCCTGAAGACATTTGTATTTTTAGGACAGGGTTTATGACTGCACACAAGTCGAAAAATTCAGAATGAACTCTAGGGCTATACAGAGTTATATTCAAGTATGATAAAAATGATCCCGGAAGAGTATGTTCAAAACTGCCAAAGACATCCCTGCCTTGCAAATATACATGCTGGGTGGGTCCGGGGCGGGGCGGGGTGGGGGGAGTGGCTGTTCCTAGCACTTGCACTAAGCCTGGTTTGACTTCTGGACAGCCATGCAGGGCAAGAGAAACCCAGAATCCCAATCACTTGATGACCTAAGAGTCTGCTAAAAAAAGAGGCCCATCCTTAACGTCCCCCAACCTTCAGATAATCTGAGTCGCAGAAACGCTCAGCGGGGACTCAGAAGTTTGGAAAACTTAGACTGTGGATGGGGACCAGGCTGGGTGGGCAGCTTTTGTGTATCCCAATCTGTCTAGACAAGAATATCCGCCACTCCTTGATCACGGTGGGGAGGGGCAGCAGTGGAGGCAGAACGTCGTTAAAGAACATGGAAACCTTTTTACACACAGATCCTGTCTCTCGGCTCAACTGCAATTATCAAGATGTCCCCCTGCAATTCCTCATTATTGAATTAATACCTCGGAGGCCCCCCAAAGGTAAACGAAAGGACTCTAATAATTCATATTCCCTTAATTACATCTTCTCCAGTGAATAGAGGGAGAGGAGAAGGGGAGGGGGCGCTCTCTTTCTTTTTAAAAGTTATTTAACTTTCCCACGACTTGTTCCCCTGAGCTGAAAATACGGAGTTGCTGTCACATCTCTGTTTGACAATGGAGAAATGTGTCAACAGAAAGGAGGGGACAGGCCTCATCATTAGCCCTCTAATGCAAGAAGCTGTTGTGTATTAAATGAGCCATATGGAATTTATTGTGCTTTATCAGCGCTTGATTTTGACTGTAAAGTGATTCACTCAGCTCCTAACCCAGGGACATCTGTTTTCTGTTGGCCGTCGGGGCTGCCCAGTGTTGATCGTCTCTTTGGTTATGAGGCCTGGGTTCGGAAATGCACTCTGGTATGGGGCTGCAAACACCTTTAATAGCATTGCACTCACTCCCTATTAGATCAATGTGGGCTCATTGCTATAAAAAATGGGAAATCAAATAGCATTAGCCAGCTCCTTGTGCGGGGCGGAGGGGAAATCAAACAGCATTTTGCCTTCAAATGGCCCTGTTTGTTCTAGCACTAAGTGGGCTTTTATGAAGCCCGATTGGAGACTTAATCGCAGCCAAATACCTGCTTGGAGCTGAGCGGATTTGTCTAACAACCAAATCCATGCTCCATCCCATTATTTCAATCAGGAAAAGCCGGTCAGTGGATTGTTTCCTCTAGGGGCCTTAGGACTGGGGGCTCCTGAACTACAGCCTCGGGGACCCCGAAACCCCTGTTCTGATCCTGGACTCCTTCTTCAGGCTCCCAAACCCAGAAACCTTTCCCTCCTACCTCCCAAGTCTTCATGTTCAGTGCCTTTTGGTGTGTGAGTGCTTGGGTCTACTTTTCAGATTTTCTGCTTCCCTTCATCTTATGAAGGGGGTCTCAATCTCACCCATCCACCAGCCCATCTCCCCCTCACCCCACCCCTGTGCGTTCACACACACGGTTCCCCAGCGCTTCTCCCTCCCTTCTTCCCTCTCCATGTGCAGCTCACCTGGACTCGGGCCTCAGTCAAGTCCAGCCTCATGGCCAGTTCCTCCCTAGGAGAAAGCAAGAGAGAGACAGGAGGTCACTGTAGGCCCCAACAACTCCCTGCCAGCCACCTTGCCTTTGGCAGAGGCCTCCCCCAGCAGCGTCTCCCCCAGTGCTTGTCCCCAAGCCCAGGCTCAGGGCCTCCCCACCCCTTCAGCACAGGAGTGCCTACTGCTAGACTGCAAACAACAGCAGGCAGCACAGCGCCAGAGACTAGATAGATGCTGTTATATTCAGGTGTGGCAGGGGTGGTTTCTGGAGTCTCCACATCTACAAATCTGGGCACATGGGTTCCCTTAAATCCGAGCACCAGAGAAAATACACGCGCACACAATGGTCATACCCCGTTTCCTCGTAATAGTAAATGGAGAGGAACTCAGCACTGAACTAAGGAAAATATATTTCTCCATCCTGTTGACTTTTTCTTTTTAAAAATTTCTCTCCCCTCCTCTTTTTCTCTCTCCCCTCTTGCCAGCTCTCTGCCTTTACCTCCATCTCTGTCTCCCCTGCCTTCCTCCCTCCCTCAGCCCCTTAGGTCACACTCCCATTACCCTCTGGAGATATGTTAAGCTTGTTAAGAGTTCAGTGGGGTAATTTTTCGATTAAACAAAATTCTGCGCACCTCCTGACTCCAGTGCCCACTACAAACCCTGCCCATCTCAGGGGAAGTCAATTTAGCTGAAACCCTACCCCGTCATTGCAGTTATTACTGCGACAATTAAGGCAAATAGGAAACCATTAAGATGCTGTAAAACGGCTTACGACCTGTTTACCGAAAATATGAGCGCGCCGAGAATAATTGGCTCTCCGCTCGCTAATATGAAAGCGCGGGGCTGCCCTAGCCTGGGACCCGGGGCTGTGCTGTGGCAGGCCCCCTGTCCGCACTGGAACTTCAGCACCAGGAGAAAACCCGTTCATTAAGCGCTTGCCGTTGTGGTCCGTCCCTCCACCCCCACCCCCACCCGTGAGCACCAGCAAATCTACAGCTGAGCTCCTGGCTGGATCCCTGCTGGAGCCAAAGGGGCTCAAACCCCTGCGGTGGAAAGAGGTGGGGGTGGGGCGGCAGAGAGGAGCAGCCCCTCCTCACGCACTTTGGTTCACCTTGCCCCCCAGGCTACAAAAGGGCAGACCCCAGACGCCAGCTGACACCAGCTCCGTTTTCTTTTTTTGAAATACACAGGTATGGGAAATGCAAAAAGCTGGTAGGCCAGTTAGCTATTTGATAGTACACACTGATTTTTAAAATGGAGTTCCCTTTTGACAGAAAAGGAAGGGACTGGGTGACACAAGAGAGGACCAAGTTTAGCTCAAGGGGCGACCAAGTTTAAGTGCCTGCACTCTGCATCAAATCCACTCTTCTCTGTTTCTGGTCAGGAGAGAGTTTGACAATTGCCAGAGCAAGTCCATTTTGGAGTTGGCTCAGGCCTCCCACGCCTAAGCAGGCATTTCTCTTCTGGTTCAAAAGGATGGGCAGCTTCCCCCTTCTAAAATGTGCATTGAAAAGCTGCACACGTCTCCTGCGAAGGAGCTGCCCGCGCGCTTCACCAGCCCGGTGCCAGGCAGACACGGGTTCCTTTCTCTCTGCTCTCTGGGGTAGGGTTGCCCTAACCCTGGCTCCTCGCCTGAGCCCAGACCTTGGCTTTGGGGTGGAAGAAAAAGCGCCCCCCCCCCAAGCCCGGCTGGCGCCCCAGGTCAGCTAAATAAGCCAGAGTCTAGGAGCCCAATCATTTCACAGGCAATCTTTGCCAGAAATTCTCGGAGCGAGCAGAAAGTGGAGCGTGACCAGGCTGAACACCCGGCTTGGACCGTGGTCCACAGAGAAGATTCCCCCAACTGCTTCATCTACTGCCTGCTAGACTCCCAGCAATCATTGTGCAGCCCGTAAACCCGTTTACATTAAATACACACTAGGTTCAGAGTGTGTTGGGGGCGGGGGGCTGGAGCTGGGCGGGGGGCCGTGAGTATAAAGAACAGAGGGGAAGGTTCTGGCTGGCGCCCCTCAGGTGTAGGGACACAAACCCTGCTCTCAGTTCCGACTTCCTTGGATTCTCGCAGGAGTTCTCAAACAACAGAACTCTGATCACTTAAAAGGCACGGGCTCCAGCTGTACTGTGAACTGTGAACCCGATACCCACCAGGCTCCTGGGGCACCAGGCTGGGGTGGCCAACTCACAACACAGTGGCCAAAAATAGTCCCAGCTTTGTTAGGGCCGCGCCGGACCGTGGCAGCGCTCCCTGGCCGGCCCGCAGCAGCGCCCCGCACTGTGCGTGTGCGCGGGGGTGTGCACGCGGCTCTCCAAGGTGGCATATAAGAGTGCTCTTTGGAGAGGCTGTTTCTTTCTCTTTTCCGAACTAAAACTTGTCATTTGAAAATATTAAGCAGGAACGGTCTTGGGAAGGAAAGAAACCAGCCCAGCCTGAGCGTACAGTTTGGAGCATAGGTTGGGGCAGTGGGTAGTTCTAGGTGCACGAAGTTGGGAGTATAGGGAGGGCGCGCCAGGGCAGAATCTGGGAGCAGGGTCTGCCCCACGCCAGGGCCCCTGCCCGCCCTCCATCCCTCTCTGGGGCCCGCCTGCACCCTCCCACCCGCCGTTACCGCCGCCACTGCGACCACCCTACGCTCTCTCGCTCTCTCGTACCTGGTGAAGACGTCCGGGTAGTGCGTCTTCTGGAAGGCCCGCTCCAGTTCCTCCAGCTGGTAGCTGGTGAACGTGGTGCGGTAGCGCCTCTGTTTGCGCTTCAGCAGCCCCTCCTCCGAGTCGCTGCCCGCAGACAGGCACACGCTGTCCTCACCGTCCTTGCCTTCGGTGTCCTCCGGGTGCAGCAGCAGCTCTTCCTTGGGAGACAGCTCCCCGCCCTCGGTGGCCACGGCGGCGGCCGCGGCGGCTGCGGCCACTGAACCTGTGGCGGCCACAGCGCAGCGCCGGGGCTCCTTGAGCAGCGCGCGGGCATCGTCTTCCAGCAACTCTTCCTCGTCGTCCTCCAGCAGCTCCTCTTCCTCGTCCTCGTCCTCCTCATCCTCCAGCAACTCCTCCTCGTCGTCCTCGGCACCCGTGCCGCCACCGGGACGCCGGGGCG